GTGCCCCTAGCGGGAACCAAACCCAGGACTTTCTGGTCCACAGACTCTCCAACTGCTGAGCCAAACCGGCCAGGGCCATATGTGTAATTTAATGAACTAAACTACCAAGCAAAATGGAGACAGACTCATAGATAGAGGGTAGGTTGACAGCTCAGGGGTCAGGGTGTTGGAGGGATTGAGCAAAAAAGAAAAAAAGAGAGAGAGAGAGAGAACTCGTGGGCATGGACAACAGTGTGGTAACTGGGGGAGTTGAGGGGATGGGAGGAGGTGGAAGAGGGTATATAGGGGATAAACGTTGATGGAAAAAATAAACTAAAATAAAAATAAAGTTGAAAACCTATAAATGGATATTTAGAGTACTTACATTATTTAAACTGCATTGTTTACCATGAGAGAACTAAAATGCTAAGAGGAAATAGTTCAAATTATCTAAATCTTCATCTAGCATAAGATAAGTGAACAAATATCAAAAATTGATAAAGCAATTAGCCCTGGCCAGTGTGGCTCAGTCAAGGCACATACCAAGGTTTTGGGTTCAATGCCTGGATGGGATGCGTAAGCGAGGCAACTGATCGATGTTTGTCTCTCTGTCTCTCTCTCTCCCTCTCCCCTCTCTCTCTCTTTTTTTAAATATCCTCACCCAAGGATACTTTTTTCCATTTATCTTCAGATAGAGTGGGAGAGAGAGAGAGAAACATCGATGTGAGAGAGACTCATTAATTGGTTGCCTCCCGCACAACCCTCACCATGGCCAGGAACCGAACCTCAACTGAGGTACATGCCCTTGACTGGAATTGAACCCAAAACTCTTTGATCTGAGGACTGATGCTCCACCACTGAGCCAAACCAGCCAGGGCTGATAGAGATATTTCTGACTTATAAATATGAAGGTAATCACCAGAAGAAATAAAAACAGAAAAGTTAAAAGTGATTGTCTATGGAGAACTATTGCTTCTCATTATCACCCTTATGTACAACTTTTTTTCATAAGTGTATGCATTACTATGCCTGTAGTAATCTAATAATGGAAATTCCTTTTCTCTACCTGTTTCCACCCCTGCCAAATGTGTGATCTCATTTAGGGAGATTAGATGGGCCAGTTTTATGTGTCTGTTTTTGTTTTTGTCTTGTTTTTTAATCTCAGAAACAGAGGGTTTAATTGTTCAGATTCTTCATAATGTATTATCATTATGGTTCATACAAAGCACCTGCTGTGATGAATTTATCTGCTTTCATTTTCAGCCCCCCACTCTCATTCTCTATTCACCTTGAGAATTTTCTTTTTTAATAATGAGTTCAAAGGAATTAATCTGTTGACAAACTGTCAGCCACTGGGATAGATGGGGAAAGACTACTTGGGAATGTGGGAGGAAAAAGTCCTTCTCAAGGGACTTCAAATTATGCCATCTTTACAAAGTTAATTTCATTCTTTTTATATAATGATTCAGTAATAACTATTAACTTGGGCTGGAAATAGGATGGACCTTAACTAGTTGGGATGTTTTCTTATTACAAGTTCTCCTTAACCTGATTTACACAGGGATTAGCATTTGGGTACTTAATAAATATTAATTTGCAATGGCAGTGTTGATGTAAAACTTCTACAGGCTTACCAAAGGATTAATGACTTATTCACCACGTACCCTTAATTACATTCTTACAACAGAGATGAAATTCATCAAATTACTTTGACAGTTTTATATGCTTAATCAACATACTGGATATGGGATAAACAAATAAGGAAGCTACAATTTAACTACAAACAACTATTACTTCCACCATTATTAACTGATGTCCACCAACAACATTACATGACCTACATAACAAAGAAGCATCCACTTCCAAGAACAGCACATAGTTTTATATTTCTTGTATCTCATTTATTCAATAAACATTTTTCCATTATAAGAAATGTTACTGGTATCAACACTCACCCAAAAGTTAATTACTTAATGCAAACAATGATTTTTCTAGGTAGAGAAAAAAAATGTTTATGTTTCCATAGATTAGGTCATATTTTGCAGTATATTTTACAATTTTCGTCCCAGGTGTATGAAATTTCTAACAAGAAGATAATGAAATGTGTTGAATTGAAAACCTTTCAAGGTAGAAACTAGTTTCCATTTTTCCCCTATTTTTTTTTTTTTTGTACTTCTGATACTAATGTAATAACCTGGTTATTAATTAACAGGAAAGGAGCAAAGAGAGACTGGATAACATATAGGCATGGCATTTGTACAGCTTCACCAGGAAGCTGCAGTTTAACTTTCCAAGTCTATTCCCCAAAGATTGATGGGGGGAAGGACTGGACAAAGGCAGTTTAGACACATGCCCAGTAAGGTATGGGTGTTGTGGGAAGATGCTTACCTATCAGTCACACCTGGGAACAGGTCAGTGGCCAGAATAGGCGTGGCCACTGCAAACGAGGAAAGATTTGCTATTTAAACTCCTGAACAAAGGGAGTTCCCCCTCTTGGCTCTCTTGCTTGCCCTGCTCCTGGCTCTCCTGTTGCAGGTGGTCACTCCCCTGCATTTGTCCACATGGCCCACAGCCACGTGGACTCCACACAATGGACTAATGGACTGTGACTAGCCTGATGCCTGATGCTACACTGGACTCAACTCCACCATTGAATGGGAACTTGGGACACTGGCTTTGCTTCTAGCTATGCTGAAACCACCAGTTGCATATTTTCCAGGACTGGGTTAAGAGAAATGGGACTTTGCAATCTGAGGAATGTAACTCTACATAAATAAAAAACCACTCATTCTCCTATGCCAGTCTTAGAGAATTCTTTTTTTCTCAAGATATTGTAAGAACCCCACTTTCAGGGAGAAATTCCACCAGTGCACTTCTCCAGTAACAATTCCAAATAGAGTCTAGACTTTATCTTCATATTGTTTTATAGAACTCATATATTTGTATTTTTCTTTTATTTGTACTATTAGATTTATAAGAGGTCTACATATTTTTTTATCTTTAAAAAAATATTCAGTTTTAGAAAGCCTCCCCTACTAGATTTCAAACAACCTGGGAACAAGATCTTGTTTGATTTTAGTAACTGTATTTTTCAGTAACAAGTTCAGTGTCTTGTTCATAAATATTGCTTAAATAAAAAAATGAATTCAGCCTTTTTTTGTAGTTATTTTATATTTGATTTACAATAATTTCCAAAAGCTTTAGTTAAACATAAAAGGTAACTGCTGTGGATGAAAAAGGGGCCACATACCAAACCTGACAAGCTCAGGAGAAGCCTGCATGGTGAGCCTTATATATTAAGAGGCTGAAAGTAACAACATAGGATGGTTTTAACATAAAAATTCTTAACTAAGAGGCTGAAAGTAACAACATAGGATGGTTTTAACATAAAAATTCTTAACTAGAAGTGAGTCATGGCTGGTAGTCAGGTCCTGGGCCTATAGCTTCCTTGACAAAGGTCAATCTTTACCTTAAGCCTGTCTATTGTCTTTGTTGTATCTAAGATACATTACCTTTGGAATGTCTGAGAATCTTCTTTTCAAGACCCCTCAGGGCACACCCACACACCAGAGCTCAAGAGCACAGAATCCTTCATTGTTATCTTGTTTCGGGAACATCATCTCTATGTGCTGTAAATGTTAACTATCCTATATCCACCAATGTAAAAAAAGTATGTGTCTGTGCGTTTCATTCTTTATCCGATGTCAGAGACATCCCCCCACTTTGCTTTCTCCTGCCCTCTAAACTACCATTAATGAACTTCATTTAACCTTGGTTGTGTCTCTTTTTTATTCTAACATATAAAATAAGCTGTGAAACTGCCATTCTCTGGAGCATTTTCTCAGTTCGTTGAGATTTTGCTTCCTGGCAGTTGTCATCAGTTTGGCTCAAACAAACTCATAAAAATTCTCTACAGGTTTGGATGTTTCTTCTGTCAACACTGCCCTCCAAAAACTTATTTCCTATTTTTACTGAACAGGTATGGACACAGATGGTAATAGTATTAGCCAAACATTTAACAGCTGGACCCTGAGTATTTTCTTAAAAAAATTCGTTTTGTTGTTAAAAATATTTATTAAAAACATACAATTGTTGTCCGTCCCTACTTGCACATATTCAGTTTGTGACTGCTAATAGCAATCAGCAGGGAAAACTCCCCAGGAAGACAGTGACATATAAAAAAGAACAACAAAAAGAAAGAAATGGTCTTCTATATTAGCCTCACCTAAGACAAAATTTGAGAAGCTGACATTTTTAGAGTACCAATGTTAGGTGTTTTGTGCTCTATATATTCAATTTTTATAATATAAACATACTAGTTTGTAACAGGAGGCAGTGTAAGTTTGAATCCTGGCTCTGCCGATGGTTGTGAGACCTTGGTCAAGCTACCCCACCAACTTTTCCAAGCCTTAAAAGGTAACAACATCTACTTTCCCCAATGGTTGTTTAATCAGATAAATCGAGTAAGACCTACGTACTCAACAGTGTCGGCCGCTTACCACGCCTCAGTGCGGTAGTGAAGGTAAATGGCATAAATACAGGGAAAAGGTAAAATACCAAGTGGCTCAAAGCACAGATGCACACGGATGAGAACGCATGGTTTGAATCTTATTCACAGGTTGGTATTAGCCAGGCATTTTAATAGCTGGACCCCAAGTATTTCCTTAAAATTTTTTTGCTAAAAATATTTATTAAAAACATACCACCGTTGTCCGTACCTATTTGCACATATTCAGAGTTATTTTCTTATCTTACCGTATGTGATTACCTAAACTCAAGGCTATTAAATTAGCGCGTTATTTACTCCCGGGCCCACGTTGAGCGCAGAGAAGACACTGCCTCAAAAGGACCCAGGCCCAACACCGACGCCAGGATCCAGGCGCACAGCGTCCCCAGTGCCTGGCGGAAGACAGTACTGGACGCGGCGGGCCCCACGTCAAGGCGCGAACTCTCAAGACATGATCTCAAGGGGGGGAAAAAAAGGCCGGACTCCAGGTTCCAGGCGCACCGGGGCGGAGGGCGCAGCGGACGCTGCAGCACGACAGGGGCGGGGCCCCGGCCGTAAAGCAGCGTCCCGAGACCACACGCGCGGCGAGGTGGCCGAAGGCGCCGGTGGAGATTCCTGCCGAGCGGGCCATGGCCGGTCCCGTGCGAGGCGGTGGGCCCAGGGCTCTGGACTTGCTCCGGGCCCTGCCCCGTGTGAGTCTGGCCAACTTAAAGCCGAATCCAGGCTCCAGGAAGCTGGTAAGTGGCTGGTGACGGTGCGGGGAAGAGCTGGGGGACCGGGACGATGAAAGCGGCCTTTCGCTGCCGGTGGTGCCTGAAGAGTCCTGTCCCGAAGGGTGTCGGGATGAATGTAGGCTGCAGAGCCCCTGTAGTCTTAGTTACAAAGAGGATAATCTCCCCACGTGGTCCCGATTCTTAATAAGGTTTATATTAGGAATAATTAAGTTGATTAGGGAGGAGGAGCGAGGTCGCAAGAACTACAGAATGATTGCCTTATTGAAAACTGAATTTAAAATGAAGTGCTTTTCCAATATATTTTTGTCATTATGGGGAAGATTTAAATTGATTTACGTTAAACGTCTTTTTTGCAAATCACTGAATATAGCTCTGAAAAGCTGTTCGTTGACATACTGTCATTTAAAAAAATCAAATACGTTGCTTTTGTGAGGTGACAGGAAATTTTTTCTTTAAGTTAATCTTTAAATAAAATAATATATGTAACAATTACATGTTTACCATTATTGCAAAATAAACCTTCTTGAATATCCTGTACCACTGCTGTGGATGTTTAATTCTAGGCTTTTTTCAGTGCCAGCCTGTCACAGAATCCTTATCCCCACTCCATCCTTGGATCGTTGCCTTTGAAACACAGCTGGGACTTTGACTGTAAGAATCAGCCACAGCTTCAGAGTCAAAGATACTGATTGAGAGTGTGTTGACATTAAAGCAGTTAGAATTGTGTTGGGCACATAGTAGTTTTAGCTAGTACTGGTTGGTTGGATGAATAAATGGCATAAATACAGTGAAAAGGTAAAATACAGTTTTAAAAAAATGCATCTGTAGTTCATAAAAGTATTTTCCTTGTAGGAAAGACGACCAAGAGGTCGGAGAAGAGGTAGAAAATGTGGCAGAGGCCATAAAGGAGAGCGGCAGAGGGGAACCCGGCCTCGACTGGGCTTCGAGGGAGGCCAGACCCCATTTTACATCCGAATCCCCAAATATGGGTTTAATGAAGGACATAGGTAAGGTTGCTTTTGCTTCTTAAAGTAAAACCCCTAATATTCACTGAGAATCACCTAAAAAATATCTTGGTAGAAATTTAAATTCACTTTGAAACCAACTTTGGCTACTGTTTCTCTGAACCATTTTTGGTAAGGAAATTTAGCCTGGATCGGTAGGAAAAAAACCCCAGACACTGCACTCAGACCTGCAAATGGATATAATAATCCCTGCTTTCGTGGTTCTTTGGAGGCTTAGCAAAATATATATAAAAATGTGGCCCATAATTGTCACCCAGTAATTAATACATAATTCAGATAATGGGTTAAATTTTCCACAAATTTATTTATTTGTCTAAATGAGTGAAATAAATGCTTAGAGAGTTAAATTATTTTTAGGGAAACAAAGGAAGTACTGGTTTTGTATCATTACCAAAAATCAAGCAGTATTACATGTTTTTGTTGTATTCAGGAGGGTTTTATTTTGTTAAAACTGTCTAAATTGATGGAGGAAACAGGACAAAGCTTTGACTTGATTTGGAGAACTTAGAGAAAGATAAGTTTGCTATGTTTTTCAACTGTTATTTTCTTGTTTTGTAGCTTCAGACGTCAGTATCAGCCTTTGAGTCTCAGCAGACTACAGTATCTTATTGATTTGGGTCGAGTTGATCCTACTCAACCTATTGACTTAACCCAACTTGTCAATGGAAGAGGTGTGACCATTCAGCCACTTAAAAGGGATTATGGTGTCCAGCTGGTAGAGGAGGTAAATCTGGATTAGATTTTTTTCTGGAGTAACATAGAACGCTATTTCTGATTTCCATTTAATCAACACTTGGACTTTATTTTTATCCTTTTGAGTTGTCATAACAGCGATTGTGTTATACTCTAGTGGTTTCAGAAAGCCAGCATTTTTCATTGAGGGATCTCTGGTTCCCTTATCCTGGAATGCTCTTCTCCTGTGTATCTGCCTATTCCGCTTCCTCTGTCATTTCCTTTGTTTCTATGTTCAGATTTCATCATACCAGAAAGATCTTTTTGACATTCGCTTGTGAGGGAGCTCTCCCACCCCTGCAGTCATCCTGTGTCTGCCTTACCTTGCCCAAAGTATTTTTCTTTGAATATAAGGACACCTGACATTTATTACCAACTAATGTATTTATTTTTTATTGTCTTCCTCACTATTATGTAAGTTCTTTGAGAACAGTTACTTTGATTCATTACTCTATTTTCAATATTGGCTCATGGTAATCACTCAGCTAATATCTATGGAGGAAAGGGATAAATCAGGTCCAATTCTAATTGCAGTAAAAAGTGTTCTATTTATAGTAATTGGCCAGGAGTATCAAAACCAAATAAACTTGTGCATTGTTAATCAACTACTCTTGTTTCTTATACATCAATAATATGGCTGTGTCCACTAGAGGGAAGCATATGTTTATGGAAAAACCTTTTAAGATTCCTTTGAAAAAGTAAGCCTTGTGAATAAAAGCATTCCAAATAAAATGATTTTGAAAAGAGAATACCAAATATTATAATTAAACCTCAGTATTGTACTCTGAATGTATAAGGGAATACACTGTAATTAACCTGTGGAAAAATCCATGACCTCACCAGCCATTAAACTGCACATCCCAACAGCTTTTAAGCATGTTTCAGTTAATCTAGCAGAGATAATTCTGAAAACTACACCAGGGCAGTGATTGAGTAAGTATAGTTACACATCATTTACAACTTTGTAAATTGGTTAACCTTTTCTGGATTTCAGATTTGCAGTAAATAGTGTCTATTAAGACTGTTAATTATTCTTCAGCGCAAAAATACCAATTTGGGAATATATATTCTAAAACAGCAATTTTCAACGTTTTTCATCTCATGATACATGTAACTAATTACTAGAATTCTGCAACACTCCAAAAAATGTATTTTTTTGCCGATCTGACAAAAAAAATTAGGCATAATTTGATTCATTCACACTGGATGGCAACTGTTATGTTGACTATTATCATTTTTAAACTTAACAGTCTAAGACAGCAGTTCTCAACCTGTGGGTTGCGACCCCTTTGGGGGTCTAACGACCCTTTCACAGGGGTCACCTAAGGCCATTGGGAAACATATTTCCGATGGTCTTAGGAACCGAGACACCGCTCCTCTATTCGTATGCAGGTGGGTCTGCCCATCTGCAGATACGCCCACATACAACATGAGGAACTGTATTAAAGGGTCGCGGCATTAGAAAGGTTGAGAACCACTGCTCTAAGGGAAAAGAGGTCAGTGCCCCTGACTAGATAGTCAGGTATTGCATGTTCTAAAAGTTCTGATGGCACACCAGTGTGCCGAAGGACACTGGTTGAAAATAGCTGTTCTAAAGGAAAAACAAAAAACCCCTAACTAATACAAAGATATCCCTAAAAATGCTTTCTATAACACTGAAAATAATGGAACTAACCCCAGTGCCCAAGGGTGGGGAAATGGTTCAGCAATTATGGGCATAGTAAGTAAAAATCACAAATAATAAGGTAAAATGTTATTTTACTGAGTCTACAGTGCCATTAATTATACAGATGAAGACAGGAATCATACATAGAGAAAATGTGTCTTGAAATTGATGGAATATTTTTGAAATACATTAAATGTTTATAATTAAGAAAAGGAACTTGGTTGGGGCCAGCTTATTTCAGCCACACCAAATTAATTAAATATTTTTGTCACTGCAAAACGTAGGGTCATGCCACCATCTTTTTATTTTTGTCAGAATGTTTTGAAATTAAAGTAAAATATAACACATCCTAACTAAAGTGACCAAAAACAGAACTTTAAAGTTTAGTATTACATTTTTTTGTTGTTCATCCTCACCCTAGGATATTTTTCCATTGATTTTTAGATAGAATGGGAGGAAAGAAGGGAGCGAGGGAGAGAGAAACATCGATGTGTAAGAGACACATCAGTTGTTTGCCTCCTGCTGGTCCCCAACCGGGGCTGGGGATCAAACCTGCAACCCAGGTACATGCCCTTGACCAGGAATTGAACCCGTGACCCTTTGGTCAATGGGCCCATCCTCTAACTGCTGAGCCAAACTGGCCAGGGCCAGCATTTTTTTTAGTATTGACCATTCTCAGGAAAGATAGACATTATTATTATTATTGTCAGTTTAGATGCTCTAATAAAGTCAGTAGTGAATGCAAAGTAAATTTCTGTTCTCTTTTGCCTTTTTTCCTAGAGGGGGCTTTGTTCTCTTGCTGGTTCCAGCCCACACACCCTCCTCTTAAGCATTTCTTTCTTGTCCTCTTGCTTATTTAGGGATCAGGAAGTTAAGTTTTTTTTAATCTATATCATATGGCATAGTGAGGTTAAGAACACAGACACTTGTGTTTAAGCTCCCCAGATTAGAAACCTGGCTTTGTGATCTTGGGCAAGTTATTTAACCTCTGTTTCAGTATGACATTGGTTTAGCAGTAATTCTATCATAGAGTTGTTATGAGGATTATACAGTCTACAAATAATGAAGTACTGGGAATGGGTAGTTAGGTTGGTGTCTATTAAATACATAAATGAAAATAATCATTCCTGCTTACAGGGAAAGAAAATTGGTAAAACAAGATGGTCTAAAAAAATGTAAAGGAATTTGATTTTGTTTGACAGGAGGTCAAAGCACAGGTATTTAAAGTAGGAATGACTAAAAGATAAAAATTAAAAAAAAAAAAGTAGGAAATGCCCTGGCCAGTGTGGCTCAGTTGGCTGAGTGCTGTTCCATGCAGTGAGAGGTTGTCAGTTTGATTTCCAATCGGGGCCCATGCTCAGGTTGCTGGCTGCATCTCCAGTAATGGTTGTGCAGGAGGCAGCCAACCAATGTTTCTCTCCCTCACCCTTTCTCTCTCTCTCTAAAACCAATAAAAACATATTTAAAAATGAAATAAAGTAAGAACGACTGTTACATTGTAGGAACTTTGGAGGAGAAAACACTGTAAAAAGGAAGCTTGCTATAATTACTTTTGTTCAAACTATCTACTAACAGACTTTGTTCTGACTTATTATAGGGTGCTGACACCTTTAAGGCGAAAATTAATATTGAAGTACAGTTGGCTTCAGAACTAGCCATTGCTGCAATTGAAAAAAATGGCGGTGTTGTTACTACAGCCTTCTATGACCCAAGAAGTCTGGGTAAGCTTGTTCTGCAGTTGATTTCTTCTCTTCCTCTTTGTCTCATCCTGGCTACCATATTAGGATTTTAAAAGTCCTTATGGTTCTTTGATTTGCAGTTCAGGACCTTGGTTTTCTGTTTTAGGATTTCTTTGTGGTTAGTGGGGCTTCATCTTCTTTTAATATACTTAAGCCAGTATATCATAAAAAAGTTTAGTTTTTATTTCTAAACATGAGGCTTAAATACAATGTTACCTATGTATAAGAAATCCATTATTCATTGGTAACCCAGGAGTAACTTTGACTTTTAAGATGCAAACTTTTGAAAAATGAAGCATTTTCATTTGCTTACATAAGACAAACCTACTTATAAAAAATGTTCTTAGAATTATGTTCTGATCTTGATAATATTATAAAAATAATAATTAAAAGAAATAATTATTAAAGAAGGTTATTATGTATATAGCTAATATTTGCATCTTTCTTTTTTTATTTAAAATTTTTTTTAGAAATTCTGTGCAAACCTGTACCATTCTTTCTGCGGGGACAACCCATTCCAAAAAGAATGCTTCCACCTGAAGTCCTGGTCCCATATTACACTGATGCAAAAAATCGTGGTTATCTGGCAGATCCTGCCAAATTTCCTGAAGCAAGACTTGAACTTGCCAAGAAGTATGGCTATATTTTACCTGATATCACTAAAGATGAACTCTTCAAAATGCTTAGTACTCGAAAGGATCCAAGGCAGATTTTCTTTGGTCTTGCTCCTGGATGGGTGGTGAATATGGCAGATAAAAAAATTCTAAAACCTACAGATGAGAATCTGCTCAAGTATTATAGCTCATGAATTCCCTTTCAAGAAAGCAGAGTTGTAAGAGAGTACTGGAAAAGGGAATGAAACATGTATCTATCATTGCATTTTCTTAATTTGTGATTCTCCAGATGCCTTTTTTCTTCAATGTTTTCAGTGTAATAAATAATATATTTTTTTCTTTTTTATCTAAAATAAAAATATAATAAGGTAGGACTGCAAAGAGGAACTGAAATTGCATGAATTTTATCTCAAGATACAAACCCCCTGGTGGTCTGCCAAAGGAAGATTATAACATTTAGAATATTTCTAGCTGATTTTTTCCATGATCTTTTCATCTAGATTTTGTCCTGTCATTATTGTGAATCAGAACAACCATGCAAGTGGGATGAGCTTGATATTCAGGCCTGCTCAGTCAAGGTTAGAACAGTTGCTAATGAGCTGGTGCCCCTTCTTATTCAGTAGCTTCAAGGAAGCTCTGCTACCCAGTGATAAGACAGTAAGCCTCCAACTCAAGGAGATTCGGAATGTGAGTTTAAGGTTTAAGACTGGTGAATGGCTTCTAAGTACGATATTTGCTTAACAAAATTGCAACAAAAATTCCAAGTGAATTTTCTTAACTCTAATGTATAGACAATTCATGAACAAGCCACTAATATTTTTTCTTCAAGAAAGTATTCTAACTCTTGTTCATGTACATTTACTAATTTCATAGATATAGGGACCTTTGTCTTTCAGTCATTTTAAATGATGTTGAAAAATTGTTCAGTGAGAATATAAGCCATAAAAACAATTGAAGTGAAAGTTACACAGAGTTAATGTAAAGGATTCAGCCACCAGGAAGCTTACTTAGGTTTTCACAGATATGTTATCTGTATCACAGGAGAAGAAAAATGATTCCCGGCTATGTATTTTCTTAATAGCATGGCCAGTGTGGCTCAGTGGTTGAGCATCACCCATGCACCAAGAGGTCTCCGGTTCAATACCCAGTTGTTACATGCCCAGGTTGTGAGCCAAATCCCCAGTGGGGGGCATGCAGGAGGTGGCCAGTTGATGTTCTCTCTCATTGATGTTTCTATCTCTCCCTCTCCTTTTTTTTCCTCTCTCTCAACTCAATAAAGAAAAATAAATAAAAATTAAAAATCTAAATGGTACAATATTTTGTTTTGTTAACTTATTTACCTCATATACTGCTGACCTGAGATTCAATTTATAAAATTAATTTATGTACCAAGGTTATATTTCAATTTTTATTCAGGTTTATACAGTTTTGCTTGTTACTAAACCATTTCTTAATACAGAACTTAGTAGAATCACTGTCAGGACCATCTTCCATGATAGCCACCTAGGAATTCTGAGGACAGGCATCAATTTAAAAACATGTTTTTATTTTTCAGAGACCCCAAGTGACAGAGTTGGGGTGTTGGATTAGTTTTGGCTCCATTGGTTGGCACCCCAAATCACAGTTGCTTGAATGAGCTGAAGTTTATCTTTTTCTCACAGACGGAGTGCCGAGATCAGTTCAATGTTGATTGCTGGCACTGCTCCACAAAGTCTCAGAGCGCATGACTTCTCCCTGTTTAGCCCTTTCATCTCTAGAGTGAGATGTGTATATTCATGATCCAAATAGAGAGCAACAAGGAATCAGCTTTTCCTAAGGAATATTTGTAAAAGCAGCCACACAAAACTTATTCAGAAATTCCGTTGGCCAGAACTTGGGCACAGTCCTTTCCTGCAAAGGGCCCTGGAGTCTTTACCTTGGTAGCTTATATTCTTAGATATCTTGTTATGATGGGTGAATAAGAGAGTATATATTGGATAACCAACAGGGAAATTGATAACTAATTTGTTATAGACTTCAACCCTTAGGTTAATTGACTTATAATAGACATAAGAAAAATGCAGAATTCTTTAATTTTATGTTTAATATATACACTATTTTGGAATGCTTAATTCAGCAAGCTGAAAGTCATTAAGTTGATTAATTTGTCAGTCCTGGTAAGCAAATGTTTTTGAATGAGAGTGATGACATAGCACCAGAAACCATCTGAGAATAAGCAGTTACTTTTTTCTGTGCCTGCCTTTTCTAAACATTTGACAAGAAAGCCATCTTACAGTTCCTATGTTAGGTATCCAAAAAGTTATATTTGAATACAGGGTATGGAGGAAGAGAGATGATAGGTTGCAAGGGAAAATGCCGAGGTACAAAGAAAATGTTTTTATTGACAATTATAGTGAGTCGCTAAGAGGAGTAGAATACTTTTTTTTTTTTTTTAATCACTGCTGGGAAAAAAACTTTCTACTGTTATAAAGTAGTTCATGTTTGTTTTGAAATTATGTAATATTCAAGTATAAAAAAGTAAAAGTCCATATTCTCATATTGTTGCCCAAACAATTTCCTAAGTTGACTAAAACACTTGATTTGGATTCCTTTTTTTTTTTTTTCAGTCATTCTGAATTTGCTTATTATATCTAATGCATTTCAAAGGTACTCTTTGTATTTTTCATTAGGGTATTTAAACTTTGCACCCTATTTTTAAGCCATTTGAAATAGGTGCCATTAGATAAGTCACTTAACTTTTCTTAACTGTAAAATGCAGTGACACCTAATCTTTGTATGATACAAGAGTTGTATAAAGTGACCCTAAAATCTGTAAACTCTAATATACCATGATAGTAAAGATGCTACCTTGGACTGAGGAAAACTTCAATATCAATTTATTTGTGTAGAAATGAACTACCTTAAATTTAAACTCATTTTGTTCTGTATTTGGGCATGAAGTGGTGTAACTGAAACCCAGGTTTGGCTGTCTGCCTCAGTGAAAGCCAAACTTGTGTGACAGGTGCTAATGAGAATGGAAAGAGGTTTATTCAAGTATTGGCAACCTGTAAAGATGGGAGACTCTTGTCCCAAATCCCATTTTCCTACCTCAGTGCAGGTAGAAGTTTTTATAAGGGAGAGAGAAAGCAGAACAAAAATCGAAGGAAGAGGGTTGAAAAGTTCTGTATATGCCAGCACAGTCAAGTCTGATAAGGATCTTGAAACTGGTCCAGCGATGGTCTAGTGCAAATCCTCCTGGTTTTTCTTTGAAGATCAGCAGATCTTCAGATGCTAGAATTTATGAAGGTTGGAGTCTGTCTTGAAATTAGCTCCTAGGATTCTTATACAAACATACTGTTTATCTACAAGCTACATGTTAGAGTCAGCAATTACAGAAACAATGTCAAAAGAATGGTGGGGTGGGTTTCAATTTTCTACTGTTAGAGTGGGGCATTGCTCTAGGTAAGTTATTGCCTTGACTTATTTGTGCTGCTGGAGGTTTTCCTTTTGTGATTCAGTTTACTATTGTCCTTTTAGAGGGGCTGGTATTACTCAACAGGAAAGTTCTTAATTGGAAATGAGGGAGGAAGTTAGGTTAAGGTACATTACAAGGGCAATAGCCCTCCAGTCTTAGAATGCACTTTTTGGGGACCTTAGATTCCCTTCCCCCTGCCCCTCCAACCAGAATGACTAAGCTACCCTGAGCAATAGTTAAAGATGGGAAAGGAGACAGGCAAACACCAGAGTTGCTTAATTGCTGTCTTAGGTGGTCTACAGGTGTAAGGAAATCGGGATGGAATGATAAAGAGAATAATGAAAACAGGAAACAGATGTCTAGAGACTAGGAATGCTCTATAGCACTTACTCACTGGGCACGGACTTAGTAACAAACAGCTGTATCCTGGTCTTAATACTGTAACTGTGCAGGCAATTTTCAGCCCAAACAGGCACATTCCACTGACTCTGTCCATTCTGTTTTTTAAAGGCAATCCATAAGTTGCCGTATAGCAGGGAGAGTCAAATTTATTTTAATTATGTAACAACACTGGGCCCTAAGGTGCTGTACTGCTGGTCATTTACAAAGATAATGAGAGAGAGAACACGGGCAGATAGTAGCTTTATCTTGCTGTGTTCACATCACTTGAAACTCTAAGTATAAAAGCAAGAAGCCTTCGATCTAGGTCTAAGTCCTTTACTGGTGTGTGCTTTCAACCTATTTTCAGTATACATGGTCTGTTTAAGTCCAAAACCAGAAAAGCTTGAGTTATGCATTTGAAAAGATTTTTTAACACCTGAGAAATAATTACTAGGGATTTCCTGTTTGTTGAGTTCTTGAGTTTGTGTTCAAAAAAAAATTTTTTTTTCTTTATTGATTTGAGAGAGAGAGAGAGAAACATCAATGAGAGAGAACATCGGTTGGCCGCCTCCTGCATGCCCCACACTGGGGACTTGGCCCACAACCTGGGCATGTGTCCTGACCAGGAGTAGAATCAGCGACCTCTTGGTGCATGGGTTGTCGCTTAACCACTGAGCCATACCGGCCAGACATAGAGTTTGTTCAATTTTTTAAAAATGTTACTCTATTCTTTGGAAAATGGAGTGGCTATTCAATAGTAGAGAAAAATACCAGATTATATCAGTGCAACCCAATTTAGTTTTGTGTTAGAGTTAAAGTGTGCTCTCTAAAGTTAGCATAAATCTCAGAATGGATGTGTTTCTAGATGCTTTGCTGGAGAGGCATAGTATGATGGAAGTAGTTCAGCCTTATATATCATAAACCTGGATTTTATCCAGGCTATGACAGTAGCTGAATGACCTTGGGCACATAGTTTATCTGCTGTGTGCTCAGTTGTCTCCTGTGAGGTGAGGATAATACCCACCTCATTCTGGTTGGGGAATCAGCAAGGTTATCTGTAGAGAGACATCAAGCACAGAGAGCCAGTGTGCAAAGCTGTCCATACTGGTTAACTAGGGCTTAGGTCCTAGCACTAGCTGTGTGATTTTGGCACATTATTTAAAGTCTCTGTGCCTCAGTTTCACAATTTGAAAAATCGGGGATAGTGATAGATCCTAATGCATCTGGTTTTGATGAGGATTGAATAAAGTCAATTTTTGTAAAGCAGTTACCACAATGCCTGGCACATAACAAGTGCCTCTATAAGTTTCTCAAGCATATTTTATAGTTCCTCTTGTGTGGTAGTTGTTTTATTCACGTTATTTCCTTTTCTCAAGATTTTTTTCCTTAAGCATTTACTCTGTGGTCAGGATCTTGTTAATAAAAAGAAAGGCATGCTAAACTTGATTATTTAAAACAAAATTTTTTTTCTTTATTGATTTTAGAGAGAGAGGAAGAGAGAGATAGAAACACTGATGAGAGAGAACATTGAATGCCCCCTACTGGGGAT